GGTGTGAAAATATTCCTCTTAGTAGCTATCGATCGCTTCTCGAAATTTCCTTCCGTACTTATTACAAAAACCACTGGGGCTAAAAAGGTTACGAAATTTCTTGAATCTTAGATCCGAATTCATGGTTTACCTCATTCTATCAGGACTGATCACGGCTCCGGGTTTAAAAACGACATAGTACAACAATTCTGTTCTAGTAAAGGTATTAAACATATCCTTTCTCCAGTCGGAGACCATCGAGGCTCTGGTCTCGTCGAACGTACGATACAGACTATAAAACGCAAGTTAGGCACTGAACAACTGGATCCTAATTTCGGTAATTTTAAAGAAGTACTCCATCGAATAATAGAAGATATTCGTAAAAATAATCATTCTACACTTAAGAAGTCACCTTTTGAAATGCACTTCGGACGGAAGCCCAATACTGAATGGTCACAAGCTTTTCATAATATAGTTAATTCTGATACTTCAGCACAGAGACTTGAACGCAACCTCTTAACGCCGGATCAAATTGCCAGTCAGGACTATAGTCGAGATCGTGTCAAGGTGGTGCCCAGAGGCAGTCTCAGTCCTCAGATTTCTCCGCGCTTCAACCCAATGTTCTCACTAGAGGGAAACATTGCTGAGAGTGAGCCGTACAAAGCGCTAGCTGATCTTGCTCGGGCGGCTAATAATTGGACACAGCATAAGAGAAACCTTCCGCCAGATGGGGGAAAGCGGGTTCTACAGGAGCTGTCGAGTCGCCATTCGGATTTGGCCCAGTCATTAAAAACAGGCCTTTCTCGCAAAACACTCTGCTTTGCGGAAAACCGGTCAGCTACTACGCCTCCAGGGGCCCAGGATACTGTTCGCCGTTTACCGACACTTCAACCCCGTCGGCAGTCCAAAACGAGTAAACTAGAAACTCTCCTTTTATCCGATCCTAACCGCGTGAGAGTGTTTAGAAAAATTATAGATCGTCAGTCTGGCAAACCTCTTTTTAAGCTTGCGAAATTCAAAATTACTCGCATCACCGATCACACCTATGTTACTGACAAGGGAAAAGTTTATCGAAAAAATCATGTCTGCCTTAAGCCTAACTTCAATAATAACTTTTCAGCAACACACAGCACACTAGGTGATCGTCTCCAAACTTCTGGAACATCTTCAAAAAGTGGGGGGAAGAAACCAGTTACTCGCGCATCTCATCCGACGTTGCTTGAAAAACGGCCAGCTAACATGAGCGTGTCACAGCCGGCGGTGGTGGATCTTACTGATGATTCGTCTAGTGAGAGTCCTCCCGACCAGCACGCTTCGCATGAAATTCGGATATCTACTCCAATGGAAAAGCGATTACGGTTACATGACGAATCACCGCCTGTCACGTTTGGCAACTCATCCCTCACACCGGGCCAGTCTCCAATGGATACTTGTGTCTCTCTACCGCCCATCACTCAGCCTGTTGACCCTACAACTTTGGTTGCTGGTCCGCATCAGCTACCACTTGACGTGGTCGACTCCGAGGGTCCAGTTCTTCCAGACAAAAGTGCTCAAGCAGACCCATATTCGTCGCTCCCATCTCTTTCTCTCCCAGCTCAACCGGCTACGGATGATTCGGAAGGCACTCGGACCTCATCTCGTAGCAAAAAGGCCACAAAATTCTTCGGCGACCCATTACGACACTCTGTTAAATCGGTGGAAGAAGACAAATCGCTGGAAAAAGAAGCTGACATATTACCCTCCATAAGTGTTCTACCTTCCTCACAGTCACCTAAACGGCGACCTCTCATTCGGGACCGTTCACACTTAACTTCTTCGGAGGCGCCATTCTCATCCTCGCTGGATAAAGCTCAGGACAGAAATTGAATGTCGTTAAAACTTACTTTCAAACTTTTAACAAAACTTCGTTATGTAAACATTATTTTCATCACGATGCATTTTTACGGGATAGGGGTGCTATCTAAAAAAAAATGCTTAGGGGTGCAGTCTATTTATTTAAAAATTTTTTGGATTCTCCAAGAAATTTTCCCTTCCGCGGGGAATGTGATGAGGCGACATTTAGTACCTCATTTGATTTATTGTCTTTTGCAGCCATGCTGCAGATTTATATACCAGTCTGCTCAAGGTCACTGGTTTGGCCTTATCGAGCGACACACTGTGTGTGATCACTCTTATGTTCTGATACATCGCTTGCTAGATGTAAACTTTATTCAACCTTTATTTGTTTCTCTTAGTCAGAGCCTGACTAACTAAATCTAAAGTAACCAAGAATCTAAGCAACTAATCTATCAATTCACTATTACGAACAATCTAGTTTTGTCCTTTAAATCTCGGCAAATGTCAGGTCTCAAACTGATTTTGTTGCCTTTTTTTGTTTTCGAAAATGTTTTCCAATATTTTTCCACTCTGAATTTTGTTTAAAATCTTTTAGACATGCATTTTTTCAATCGCAAGTAATGCTTTGCTCTGCTTCGCCTCTTTGTTCAAGTTGAAATTTTTCACCATATAGTTTGGTGTTCGGGGTAATCACATGGGTTGAAAATATGCCAGCCGTTTCATTTTCCACAAATTTTCAATAAATTCTAGAGGTAGTATCTGGGGTGGACAATGTGGCCTCCAAATCTGACTGAAAAAATGCAATTCATGACGTTTTCTAGTTTTTGAGTTTTGATTTTTTTCATTTTTTTAAAGTTACCTTGAAAAAACTACTTCTCAAAGTGTGAAATTTTTGACTCGATGATAGGTGTTGTTAGGATACTCCCATGGTTGCAAATCGTTCAAATTATGAAATAGAAAACGCTGCTGGATGCCCCCATTATGTTTCTACGTTTGCACTAACGAATTTTGTGGTGGTTGTATAGGTGGCAAATGGCATAGTATTAGGATGAGAGCATGATTGTGGTGCTGTACATGAAGGATATGGCCTCTAGTATATGGATATTTGATTTTGATTGCTTTAGTGCATCCAGTTACAGTTCGGAGGTCGCAATTTGTACTTACTGTAGTCTTTGGATGAAGGTAGTGCTTGCTGCGTGTAACCAAGATTGGAAGGGTTTTTCAGAACAGGCTTAATCCAAGCTTTATGCCTATTTAGAAACGTTTCCTTATTTTGGCACGAGTTGGTGCCGGCCAGGGATTTTAAAGTTTTAGGGCGAGATTTAAAAATTGATGTTAAGTTTGTCGAAGAAAAAGTCCAAAAGTGTCCTAGATTGAGTCTAGGTGAGAGGAAACAAAGGAAAAAGTTTTTGATATTGGTGCCTGGGTGTAGACAGTGAAGTCTGCTGCGTAAATCTTAATGAATATAATTTCCTCTGAATGAATCGCGGAGCGGATATAGAAGTTGAAACTGCTGGGGCATTACCGAGCATTGGAGGACTCCACTGTGGATTATTTTCGATATGAAGAGGGCCTGTCTACCGCTTCGGTTATGCTTTGACAGCAGCTGATAGGATCGGGCAGTGAAGAGTTATTCAGTTTATCGATACAGGTGTTGTGGGTCAGGCAGTTGAAAGCTTTTGTTAGATCTACAAAAACAGTTGTCCTGAGGTCTTTTTTTGGTTAAAACCATGCGAAATTGAATTGTCTATAGAATTTAAGGCACTGTTGGTGGTGTCCTGGGTCGGAAACCGTGTTGGTGTGGATTTGGGTTCAATTGTTCGTTGAGTAAAGGGCAGAAGAGTGATTAACAGTTTTGATAATGGAGCTGAGTAAAGAAAATGGTTATAGGATAAGGTCACTTTAGGTTTTTTAAGAGGTTTGACGAGGGCAATTACGATGGATGTTTTCCGAATTGATAGAGTTAGCGAAGCGCGTAAACTAAGCTCTAAGGTTTATGACTTATGGTTAGGTAGTTTAGGGCAGTTTCATTGAAACGTTTCAAGTCAGTTATTTTAACCTTACCAGGACCAAAATCTCGAAATGGACGGGCCCTTTTATGCGTTTATCTGCTTCATAAAGCAAGCGCATCTGTTAAAGGGAGACGTTAAACGTTTCTTTTCATCTTACGATACCGTTTAGAAGGTTTGTTTGTAGTAATGCAAGCAAGTTGAGCGTTGAAGGCTTTTGGTTTTGCAATTGAGGAGTGTGTGATGAGGGACTTGGAGTTGAAGAGTTGTGGTTTATTTGAGTCTTAAGGTAGTGAACCATTCAAGATTGCGAATTAGTCGTCAGTATTTGGGACACTTGTCGTGGTCAATTGAAACGCAAATAAAGTGGGAGTGGAGTTCAGAAAAACGTTCATACTAGCAAAAATAGCGAAGTCAAGCTGCTATTATTGAAGTTCGGAAATATATTGAACGCGTGAAACAAATTGAAATTATTTTGTTTTAATTGATTTTAAACGTTTGTTGTCATTCTCGATGTGAGTTAGCTGACATCTTAAACTTTTAAGGCAATCAGAATCATTTGATATTGTGGGAAGGGTTTGGGGTGTTAGAAGAAGATGATGCGAAATGAGGGATGGGTGAATCTATCATTATCGTCCACAACAATGAAAAGATTGTTTTGTTTTTTTTTCGAAGAAAAAATTGATCATTTGTCGAACCGAACAACTATATCAAAATCTGGAGTGAAGCGTAACTGTGCAATTGAGTGGAGATGTGGAACCCAAAATTTCCGAACGAAAAGTTGACTTAGTCTGTATGCACAGAATATGCTCGCTGTCAAAACTGAAAAATCGAGAAAAGACTGAAATACGAGACTACCGACGAAGATAACCAGAATTAAAAGCAAAAGAATTATTAATTTAGGTTGATACTAGCCGAACGGTTAGGAGCACCTTGGTTTTATTTCTGAATAACTATTTCAGTAAGGCTTAATTTAAAATTCTGTAGTGATTATGCATCTGATTTTTTGATGGGCAATCCAACTGATCATAATTTTTCGGGTTTGATGTTTAAATTGCAGTGAAACCAACTTCGTATAGGTTGAGCAATTGCAAACGTTTAAGAGGAGTATTGTGTAAAGATGAGAATTTGTAGGCCCAGACGGTTGCTCTTATCTGTTCAATGATTTTTTTGCAGTGAATCAGATGGAGAATGTACTGAAATATTCGAACCGTCGTGGAATGTATTTGAACGTGAATCTGGCTATATTAGTGGCAAAAATACAAATGCGTTGGAACCTATCATCAGTGATTTCGAGGAGCATGCATCAAATGCTTCCTCTGTTATGGATAGTGCTTTCATCGATGACGGCGAAATTGAGTCGAGAAGTTCACAAAATAGCAATCATGATGAGTCTCACAGTAGCCAGAAATTCAGACATTGGGAACAGAATTCAAGAAACTCGGAAGCCTTACAGAGGATTGAAAATCGGTTGCAGAATTTTAGGAAGAAGTTCAACTTGAACAGCGCTGTCATTGATCGCACTTATTACGAAGTGAGTTTTGAATTTTTAGTCAGTTGATTTGAATTCCAGCGGAATAAAAAATTTTACCTATTGATCCAGTTTTCTTAACTTGGGTTAATTTGAGTCAATCATATTTTCTGTTGATTTTCTTCTAACTATCTGTTGGCTATGTTTGTTTCGCCTCCTTAAATGTTTTCAACCAAACCGTATTTGAAGGACTGCTCTGCGGAAGCAAGTGAAAACCAGAACCCAAGTTGTTGCTATTCGGAATGTGAATCTGGAACCCAATTGGGAGACAGGACTATGGCATTCGTGAAAGAGATGAAAGCGTCAACTGGCAACGGACATGAAGGAGTACCAGCCATTCTCACCACAGGTTCAATTTTTGTAAGAGTGTATGAAATATGGAAGTTTTATAATTCGAAAAAGTTTTAACGTACAGGCTTACTTTTAATCAACTGCCTACTTTTGCAAAATTTTAAGGGCTATATTTTCCATTTATACAGAAGCAGAAAAGGTTTGTATTTATACAGAAGCTTTTCAGTGAGTGTATCAGATCGTACGTATGTTTCAGATCTCCGCCGAAAAGCTGTGAATTTGAAACCGATGTTAAACGAACACGAGTCATTGGACAGATTGACCTCAACTCCTCTGGTCATCAAACATCTGAGACCGATGACTCTTTCTGCCAAGAGGTCAGCTGCAACGGGAACAAAAAACACACTCGGGCACAATTTACCATCTGTGTCAGTTAGCACCGGCATGATCCAAAACCTAGAGAACACTGAAAAGAAAACGAACTCAAAGAAAGGACCATTTTTGTCCTCTGAACCAGTTGTAGTAAAGCGTGCTCTTAATTTCCAAGTGCAGATGAAATGAAAGAATGGATTGAGTGATTTTTTGTTTATCGCATTAAGTATGATTTTTAGCCTGAAGTTAAAAATTAGCCCGAAATGCCACATCTCGATACCCAAATTTTAATCTTCTAGGTTCAATTCGAGCTGTCTGACGAATATTCTGAAAAAAAAAAAACTTCAAAGGTGCTCGAAGCTGATTGCATAAGTTGTACCCTTTCGTCTTGAGAATTTCACCGGTTACATGATTCAAACTAACGCCTCTTTCTGATAAATTGAAGATGAATTTTCAATTTTTTTTGTATGTCTGATCGTTAAATTCGTGCTAAATTCAGATATTTGAAGTTATTGAATTGTGATTCTTGTGTTGCATCATTTTATTTAGTAAAGTATTTATCGAGATTTTTTTTTCTGTGAACTCTGATGTGCCTGCTTAGAAAAATGAAAGTGCGGCTATTTCAATGAGAATGGTGGTCGTTTTAATAATGAAGTTGTTTAAAAAAGTATCGATGTTCATAATACATAGTGTCGGTTAGATAATCTAAATATTGTTTCGAGCGAAGAGATGGAAGCTATTTTGTACCGTCACCTATGGGCTCCTGAATAGTGTTGCGTCTAGCTTTAAAACGACTTCGCCTAAAATAATTTTGACCCTCTCAAATTTGTTCATTTCTTGCTTTTTGTCAGAATTTGAAAATATGAATTACAGTATGACTTACCTTCCTTTGTACGAACACTTCAAGAAAAACCTCACGAAAGATCAAAACGGATTCGAGCGGAAGCGATCCGTAATGAGTAACATGTTACAATTTCTGAGGAAGTTTTATTCAGCACTTGACAATGACCCTAAATTCGATTTAGTAGTCTTCTATGACTTCTTGAAAGCATTTGACAAAGTGCCACACGAACTCTTGTTCATAAAGTTGAGACAGATAGGCGTAGGAAGATGCCTTCTCCAAATTCTATTTGACTATCTTAACAAACGCAAGCAATATGTACGAATTGGATTTGTTGCGTCAGTCAAACGTGAAATAACCAGCGCAGTTCCGGAGGGCTCACTTGTGGGACCCTTGCAGTTCTGCATCTTCATAAACGATCTATCCGAAGTCGCCAATTTAGCGATCCTTTCATTTTTGCAGATGATCTGAAAATCTTTGCAGTCAACAAATCATACGCTGATCTACAATGCCACCTAAACAAAATAGAAAATAGGGTCAAATGAAACGATATGAAATTAGCGATAAAAAATGCGCATAGATCAAATTTTGATCACAATCCAGAGTTTCAATTAATCTTGTACTCAAAGGAACCAAGGAACCACAGTAAAACAGACAGCAACCATCAAAGATCTGAGAGTACACGTAACACAGAACCTGAGCTGGATCACGCACATCAAAGAACGTCTCAAAAAGCGAATGATTTTCTGTACTGTCTTCGAAGAAATGTTGCCTACAAAGCCAACATCTTCGTAAATTTCGGGTTATACAAATCAATTTTACTGCCAATCTTGCTCTATGGATTTGACTGTTCGACTCCGCTGAGACAAAAAACCAGAAAACTAGAAGCATTCCAAATGAAATCACTTAATTGGGTCTGGAAATTTATTTAATCAGCAAGATTAATCAGACCAGCTGCGTTTACTCAATCTCTTACCGCTCCCAATTTACATGCAATTAAATGATTTTCTACTTCTCTCGATAATTTATGTAGAACCCGATGAACACAATTTTTTTTAATTGACGAGCATCAAACCGAAGAATAGAAACAAACAGAAGAACGAAAACTGACTTTACTTTTCGTACAGCCAGAGTCGCGAACCGAATTGATGCACACGAGGATTTCCAAAATCCGAAAGGCCTCAAAAACGAATGTTAGCCCTCATGTCGAAACACGCTGAAAGGTTTCCAAATAGCAGTATCTGCACATGGCAGCTTTGCTGCGGTTACAAGTTGTCGAGAACATGGACAAAATCTAACAAACGTGAAAAGGGATGAACATTCCTTCCAGTAATTCTGGGAATCCGAAACAACAACAACATACTCATGAAACAAAAAAGCTTTAAATTGATATTTTAAAGGTTCAATGAACGTAGTGAAGACAATATAAAGGTTGAACTGAGTTTTTTGAAAGACTTCTTGAAAGTTGCTGAAGCTAATATTTTTTTTGCGGTTTGGCAATTGATTGCCTTTGAACTGAATTATTTGCTCAAAGGAAAATCACGATCAAAATAGGAATAATTTCAAGTATTTAATTTGGGTTTTTTCTTGAGTTTTCCCAGCGCAGTAGAAAATTAACCTAATGATCTAGTTTTTTTTAAAGTTTTTTTTGAAGCATTTGGATTGTTTTTACCAAAAAACTGTCAATTATAGAGGGTCAAACTTAAAAGTGAAAGTTTTGAAAAAATTAAATCATTTTTTTTCCGGTCTCTTTGATTACAGTGATGTTTTTCTAACTGAATATAGGCTATCCTTGGCTCTCGTTTAATTTCGAAAATTCTAAATCTTTGAGTTTATTGACAACTTTTCAATTGTCTGTTGGTTGTGTTTATATGATGGTTGTGTTTATGTGATGGTTGTGTTTATGTGCAATAGAAAACCGTAGTAGAATACCGTAATGTTTTTCTGATGTCTTAAATATCAAATGACGGCTATCATTGAGACAATAGCTAATAAAAGAAACTATCTAACAAGAGCAGGCTCATATGGATTCATAATCTTACGATTTTTTAAGCAGGCGTCTCAAATTGTTTTCGAAAACAACTCTGATGAATTAGTTCATACCTTGAAATTTTACTAGTATTTCAGTGTCTTTGGCGTCTGATCAGCTCACCAGACAACAGTTATTTTCTTATGTGATTAGATTTTAGCCATCAAAACAGCCTGAAATGTTGCTAACTTACATTGTTTGAGTCTCTTGCTCAAAAATTCCTATTTTTGCGATTTGATTCAAGCTATTAAAAAACTTTCAATTTTTTATCCTTTTGAAGCTTGCTTAATTTTTTTTAAACCAATGAAATTAGTCATTTCAGGTGATAAATTTTCAATACCATTTTTACTAGCTTAGATTTAAAACATAATCGATTCGAAATATAACCATCAAACTATAACTATCGTATAATTTTGGAATATATAACAGTTTTAACGTCTGTTTAGCTTGCTTGAAGAAGTTTATCATTTTGTGACCAGATTCCAGCTAGCTGAAGTTTCCAGATTTAAGAAATTTGCTTGAAATATTTTGCTGACAAATTCGAACATTCACAATGAAATGATTCATGTATGTTTTCAATTTTCGGGTTATGTTACTTTTGTATTGTTTCATGTTTTGTTTTGATTTGGAGTTCGAAATTGTTTTGGTTTCTTTGACTTCAATAGGCGTTTTCAAATCTACTGTTATGCCAATTTTTTACGCGCCCGTTTCCTGGGTTTGTTAGTGGACTTGATGACCTACCCCTGCATTTTTGCTCTGGACTTGTTTTGGATAAATTTTTTATGTGTTTCTAACCTAGGTCTTGGTCTAGATCTTCAACGGTTAAATAGTACACAATGGAGTCTCAAATAGCTAATAGTCTCATTCTGCAAAAAATGCCAAAAGTTTCAATGTTAGACCCACATTTGAGAAACGTTCCAGTCCAGCTTAGCATTTCCTATAGCTCTTTTTTGCTGCTGACTATTTTTGTCGCAGATCTAAGTGGCTGCATTTTCGAGTTGAAAATTGTTGAATTTTCGTCCCAAGATAAGTGCTTTCTGAGAGTCGATGAACGTAGTTCAGACTCTATATAGGTCGTGATGATTTTTTGTTTCTTTTTTTTTCAGGAAAAGTCTTAAATGTTGTTCAAGCTCAAGATTACTTTTTCTCGGTTTGTTTTTTGATTTCTTTTGAGTTATTACTATTCATTGAACATATTGATCCAGCTTTCTCAAATTGGGTTAGTTTTATCAAAAAGTGTCAATCATACATTGTTCTAGAAATTAAAAGAGCTTCAAAGGCATCTAATTTTTTGGAAATTCGAAAGTTCAGATTTTTCAAAAATCAAGACAACATTTTTTCTGATTACTTGCGATCATTGACTCTTTTCAAACTGTCTGTTGGCTAGGTTCAAAAGTTTTTGGGCAATGATAATTTTGGCGATAGCGCAATGTGCTATTTGTACAACAACTGGTTAACCATGTTTTAAATGTGTTAGACACGTCAAAACGCAAAAATGATCATTTGTCGATGGTCGTTGATGATTCGATTTGGCCTCGTTTCGAGAATTTTTCTAGTTTCTACGTCTTGTAATATGTTATTTTTGAAATAAGTTCCCGAAGTATGGATGAAGTTGTCCAAGGGCAATGAAAGAAAAAAATTGAAACTGAATTTTTATATGATAACTTTCTTAGGGTGAATAAATTGAACGCCTTCCTGCTTCTTTTTCGAAAAAAAACACCTAGAAACAGATATAAACAAGGATAGTAGGTTAGTATGCAAGTAGTACAGAATGTTCCGACCATAGATTGTCTTTAGAAAACTACGGTTTAGAAAGTTTTTTTTCCAAGTTGGTGTAGTTTTTTTTTCGCGGTGTGATAAAAGGATCTGACGTTAAAATGTAATTTAGTTAGACAGTCATAGTAATATAGGCAAATTTTTAAAAAATGGTTGTAAAAAATGACTAAAAAAATTAAAACAAATTTGCAGAATGGAGCATAAAACTCCAAAAACGAGTTATACATTCTTAAAATTAAGTTTTAAGGTCTTAAGTTTGGCATAATTCAGCTTGTAAGCCTACACTCTCACGCCATATTAGCTCCAAATGAGACCAAAAATCAAAAATTTCACACCGGTTTTTCTCGACACTAAGAAAATGTGTTGGAAAATTTTTAATGTCGTTCGAATTACGACTGAAAGGGCTTCAATATGATATATCACTCAACCCAGTCCGATGGTGATTTGTGGTTCCTACAAAACTAAAGGAAAACAAAACTAAAACACGCGAATACAAAGTTCCCCCCTATTTTCAATAGTCGGAACGAAAATCCGAATGCTTTTGTTCGGCAAAGATACAGCAAGCTTTATCAAATCAGAATACAGACTTTTTTTTGGATCAACAGCTAGTTTAACAATCAGTTAGCATGACTCTTCTGGTGGCAAAGTATCTTAACGTCTATGTTTTTTGAGCATTTTATTATACATATGTTTTTTTAGCATTTTATTACATTTTAAAGCCATTTCATTAGATTTTTTGTTGTTGACTCTGAATCAACTCTTTTTTTTTTAGTTTCCTTTGTTCGCTCAGTATTTTTATTTTTTTTTCGGCTCTAATGGTTCTGCTGATTATATATATGTTCAGCTGTCTCGTAATTCGTTGCTTAAAAACCAAACTTTTTACTTTCATTTGAGCTTCCGTGGGGGGGGGGGGGGGAGTG